AAGAGCAATAAATTACAAATGTCAATATGGATAGTAGAAATCAGAGCCTGTGGGGCAATCTTGTGCTGAATTAAAACAAGTATCTCCCTGACTACAGCTGAGGGAAATGGCAGTGGCATCATATTTCATTTTAATAGACTGCAGAGAGGTTTGCCTGGGGAGAAATCAAAGTGACTTGATTATCCCATCGTGTTAACTAACATCTTATCACATCCAGGCTCTGTCCCTAAACCAATTTAAAACCCTACTATAAGAAGCTTTCAAAAGGGAGGACTGGGTTAAAAGGCATTCAGAATAACCCCCCTGCTTTTACCCTTTATCTTGTGTTGTTACAGGTAAACGTCCAGGTAGTTTTAAGCTCTGTAGCAGAAAGACAACAGAGGAAAAGCACAAGAGTAAGAGATAATAGTGCAGGACCTGATGCCGGCAGCCTGAATTCAACAAACATTCTTGTTGTTTGGGATCCTGTGAGGGCCTGAGTGCAGAGTTCAACCAAGGCTCAGTCCCAAACCCTGCACCACCTTTGATTAAAGCCCTCCACCACCTTCTCCAACTGCCTTTTCTTTCCACCTTCTGAATTCCTTTGCCCTCCAGGTGCAATTGTAAACCTGGAGGAGAAGACGGATTTAAGCAACCTCTTGGCTGCTTCCCTACCTGCCCACTGCAAGGACAAACCACTCTGCCCAGTAGTTCTCAGGGGCTTGTGACTGAGATTCGTGACCTGCAGCGGTTTACGCACAGTTCCCAAACTGGTGCACAGCTGCACAGGCTGGGCTGGTTTCTCCAGTGGCTTGATGGATGGACCTTTGCAGCAGGAGGCAAAGAACTGCTCTGCTTCCTCTCTGCGTTCAGCTGGCCACCTGAAGCAGCCATCCACTGAGGAGCAGCTCACTGGGTCTTCAGCGGAACTCCCCACACCTTTGAGTTTTGATGCATTTGTACAGAAAAGCTCAAGGAAGTGTTTTGTGATTATGAGAAACAGTAAAAAAGGTATTGCTAAAAACAAATAGCCTTTCGCAAACAGTTTGAGAGGAGGAAAGGCAGCATAATGTCTTGTTTTGTCCAAAAGGGGGAAGAGAAATAATTGAAGGAAATAGAAAGTTTGACATTCACAGACACTGATATTTTTTCATTCCCTGCAATCTAAAACTCAAGAAATGTGTTTTTTTCTAACAAATTAACAACTTTACTTGTCTGTTTTCTCCCAAAAAATCTTCACTAAGATGACTTCTCCTTTTTCAGACAGCTCAGCTTCTTTTGCTGTCTACAGCAGTCAAGGCCAAACACATGGCTAGTCCTGTCTTTGAGGGAGACAGGACACAGGTGGTTCCTCCATGCTACATCCTCTCAGCTCATGTACAGAAAAGATAGGATCTGTGCCAACTTCCATCACCGTTTTTCTATACATCTATTTTGGTTCTTATGCAGCATCCATAACCATGACAACTGCCTGCCTGCCTAAACTATCAGACATATGCAGAAGCTGTCTGGTTTTCTAGGCAGCAATATTTCTAAAGGGGAGACCAGTCGAAGGAGAGCCTGGCCTGAACTCCCCAAATCATACTGCACAATTCAGCCCTTTTAATGAGGAGAGTGAATGAAAACAACTCTGCATTTCGCTCTAATGTTATCCCACTGAACAATGGTTCCCTGCGGCAAGAAGAAAGTAATAAGCTAATGTCACAGCAAAGTGCTTCCAACACTTTCATGCAGGCTCGGCTCAGCTTATCACTATGACCAGGATGACTCATGGAATCTCCTCCTTGTATAACATTTTGGAAAATATGAGAGCTGGCCAGGTCCAAGGTCTTTAACACTAATCAGAAAGAGAAGTACCCTATATTTGGTCTCATCCTGACCTCTAGCAGTGAGAGACCGCCTTAAAGCTCAAAGCACTTTCATAGTATCTTGCTACACATCACTGAGTAGTCCACAGGTCTTTCTTAGTTCAGATCATAAGCAGAAACTGGACTTGACAAATCTGCAGAAGAGTCTCAAACATTCTCCCTACAGCCCAGGGCAGTTCCCCAGCTGGTGAAAATTCACAAAGCCCCCTTTCTTTGTTAGAGTCATCCTCATTTCTCCACTTTCACATTTTTGGATGCATCCTGTGGGAACACAGAAACCAAACTCCTATTAAGTCAATGTTATCTGTAACAGGGCAGAGCAAGGGCAACAAAATAAACTGTCAAGAAACCAAGCAGGAGAAGGTGGGCATGACTAGGAGGCATATACTCCATTTGTTCCACACTTTTTCTCTTCCGTCTATTCAGCAAAGATAGGCTAAACTGACACACAGGCTCCAGGATTAATCTGTTCATTACACTACAGCAGGGGAGAGAGGTACACAAGGAGGAAATCTGCTGGGGATGGATATCTTGTTCTCCTAGTACTGACACTGGGAGAAGTTAGAAATTCTACCTTGCAAGCCTCAAACTGAATTGATAAATGGCCTGGAGTTGCTATCCTGGCCTTCTTGATTAGATTTGTTGGCACAGCCTGGGCTGTCAGGGAGGGCACTTTAGAAAATGGGATGGCGATCCATCAGTTTGGCACTGCCACAAATCTCACTCAAATCCGAGCTGCAACATAGAAACGTGGGACAGGTGACGAGGCTGAGGTGCGACACAGCGCTGGGGACTACCCACAGCACGGGTTTTGCTATGCTTGCATCTTAGGAGTAACAAGCTGTTTTCCACTTTGTTATTACGCTCATATAAACCTTAGAAATACTGAAGTAGAACCACAGCCTTAAGTGCCAGGCTACTAGTGTTTTGCACTCTCTTAGGTCCCATTTATCTAATGGTGTTCATCCGTGCAGTGTTGATGCCTCAGAATTACATTGCATTACTGAATTTTGCTGTTGTAGGTGAAACTATTATTAAGCTTGTCTGACAAATCCCATGATAACCCCCTGTTTTCAGACGCTTATAACTTTGCCAATTTTTAACCATTTGACAACTTCAACTATTTCAAGATGAATTCACCTGGCAACTTTCAGCCATGACAGGTCATACACTGCCAGGAAAAAAAAAGTAAGAAAAAATATATTAATTCTGATGAAGTTTTCTTGCAGAAACATCCCTCATCCTCATCCTTTGGAGTAAAGAATATTCACCCAAGCTTTAGCTAAGCTGATGATCTGTGAAAATGAGCAGTTCACACATGAGTACAGGGGAGATGTGCTATAGTTCAAGAGCTGTTATTTCCTACTGATTCTGTCCAAACTGAATGCATTCCAGTGAACAAATTCCTGGCAATTTCAACTCTGGATGGCTACAGGCTGTGCCAGGACTGCTCTGAATTGACAGCAGAGAGATTTCTTTTCATATAACTTCTCTGCTGGATCCTGACAAAATGGAGGAGTTGGCCAATTTGAATACAAATGAGAGAAAGTTGGACCAGCAACCAGAAAGAGAGACAAAGGGAAATGTGTGAAAAGGAGGAAGGCAAGAGGTAAACTGGGACTGACTAGGCAGAAAGCAATAAAGGGACCTACTGAGATTATCCAGTTTCAGAGGGTAAGATGAAGGAAGAATTAGTACACAGACAGCTAGGAAGAAAGAAACCAGACCAGGAAGAAAGCAGAGCTGGGTTGGAAGGGAAGACCACTGTCTCTCTCAGTCCAATCACTGATGCTTTCTATGAACTGGAACACCTCCCCCAGGAGACACCAGAACAGCCCAGCCTCAGTACACCATACTGCCTGGTAGTTACAGCACTCCACTGCAAGTCCCAATGCCGTTGTTCAAAACACTGATCCACTGGATATTTACTTACACAAAGTGGAAGAGTGCAACCGAAGTACTGGGTCCAGCACTCCTAACTGGTGATGTTTCACATCATCTGCTTGGAGATGTAAGCCTCGATGCTCTCAGTAGAATTGGGTCTAGCTTACCCTGATAATGAGTTATCCAACAAGAAGTGAACACTGTCACATGCTTCTCCTCCAGTATATTGGTCTTAATCTAGTCTTGTAAAATCTTTTTCCATGTCAGGTAAACGAAGGGACACTGCCTGAATTCCCATAAATTCACAGAATGGCAACAGATATTGAGGAAGAGAGGGACACATTTTTTAAATTACTAACCATTCACCTTCAAGAATTACACCCAGCCCTTATAGAAGCTTCTGGGGAGGCAGACCACAATCCAAACATGGCTTGCCCCTCCCTGCAGGGGAGCTCATGACAAAGCCCATCACTCCTGCTCACAATTCAGGACAGTACCAACAGAACATCACCAGAAACAGCTTCCTCTGGCACAGCAAACTTTGCCATCCAGCCTCTTGCACACTCCCTTCTCTAACACAAGTAGGTCTGAATCGCAGAATACTCCCAGCTGAACTTGATGTCATGTTTTCTGCTTTTTCTGTCTTCACTGGCTGCTTTCCTACACAATTAACTCACCAGGTGGATATTAGCAAGAGAAAGAAAAACAAACCAGGCTGACTTAAGTACATTAAGTAGAGAAGGAAATCGCTGGTATCCATAAGCTCAGCAACTTGCAGAATATTAATCACCAAGCCACAAGTGAGGTGAAAACATCATAAACATCTGTATCGCTCAGCAAAGTGTGAGGGAACCACGGAAGATGCACAGAGATGAGCAGGCGATTAACTTCATTTAGCTATGTGAAAAATTAACAGTTTTCTACAATAGTGTTCATGTAGAATTGCCAGCACAGCTCCCAGTCGAGAACATCTCCTCTTATAAGTCCCTGATGCTATATGAATAAAAGGTCTGGCACATGCATGAGGTCCTGCAGGTTTCTTGCTGAGGAGCTCTAACAAAAGGGTTGGGTTCAAGTACCGGAGCGTAGTTGTGCAGGCCGTGGGACTCTACTCTGCCTTCATCTAACAAGAAGAAAGCTCTCCCTCATGGCAGGCTGAGGAAGGATTTACAAGCCCTTTCCCATAGCTGTGGACATGGCTGATGGACCGAGACTGCTGGCCATCGCTCCTGGCGAAGGCTGTGCCATGGGCACAATGGGCACTTGCTGGGCACTCAGGTGTGTCCTGCACACTGGAGACAGCCAGGGCACAGCTGGGAAAAGTCCCTCAGTGACACATATGTTTAACAACAGGAACACAATTATCAGTCATTTACAGGGGCTTCCATGGCAATGTCCTTTGGTAGCACAGTGACCCGTGTTTTATAATTTCCTTCCTTTTGCGTGTTCCAATTCACAGGCAGCATCCTACAAAGGTGCATTTATAAGCACTTTTGCAATTTTCCAAGGGAATACTTACAGGGCTTTCACCATTTATAATTTGCTCCTCAATGTCATTTATAAATTACTTCCATTTAAAAAAACAATCTCACCATAATTGGACTTTTAGCTATAAAAAATAGCTGTTCCAAGACAGAGGAAAATTACTAGAGAGAAAGTACCCTCCTGGTTCACACTGTCCAGGTTCCTGGCAATATCTCATCATCCCTTTCATAAATCCATCAAGTTTCACTTTTAAATGAGTTATTGGGTTGGATTCACGGTCAGGCAGTGACCATTTGTTCTTGTGCCAGCTTTGGCCTTCAGCATAAACATAGCTGGTATTTACCCCCTGGTGTTAATTTATACAGTAATTATAATGCATTTTCATCTTCCATTTTGCTGGGGACTAAACAAATCAGCTGAATGTAGATCATATTCGAAGACCTTCTCTGAACTTGCTCTGCTCAATCTTTTTTAATACAAATAATCAGAAATGTGTGCACAAGTTAGACTGGGTCTCCGTGATGATTTCTTTACCATTTCAGCACACCCTCAGCTCTCTGGGGGTAATCTGTGCCTATTACAACTTGCACAGTCATTTGGCATTTTCCGAGTTGCATTTCACTAACGGTTCACAGTTGCCTGATATAAATAATACAGCCAAGGTTTAAGCTGCTGTTTCCAGCAAAGTTAACTCAGAGTACAAACTCTTATTATTAGGCCAAATTCTCTAATATCCACTTAATACAGCTTTTTGTGTACCTGATGCTTCTGTAACTCCAGTGCCCCGAATTACCCTGTTCTTCCATTGCAATATTCCAGCTGCTCATTGCAGTGACAGCATCTCCCAGATCCAGCTTTACCATGCACTTCCCTCACCCAAACTTCAGCAGCTTTGCAGCCGGGCCAGACTCACCCTTGCAGCACAGCCTGTTGTCATCTCCACTGTGGGTATCCTCACTCCTTTTGCAATCTTCTCTACTGCTAGTCTTGCCCTTCCCAACTGGACTACTAACACGTGTGACACGATAGCAAATGCTCTACTGAAATCCAGATAAATCAGATTTACTGCATTCCCCCAATCTAGAAAGCCAGTTATTTTACAAAGACCAGTAAGAGAGTCATCTGCAAAATCTACCTTTATTAAACTCAGGTTACATTTTATCTCATTATCTCCATCGTTTTAAATTATTTTTTCCTTTTTGGATAACATGAAATAACATCCTGAACATAATACAAGATGAGCCTGTGTATGTCCATAATGCTTAGCTTGCTGATTTTTAAATTCCTGCACTCCCCAGTGTGAAGTACATTTCCACATAGCCTTCATAAAACTGTATGTCAACAGACTCACAATTTGGTATGTCAGATCCTTCAGCAGCCCGGGGCACCATTTCTTCCTCAGACACAGCTGATTCATTTTTCTTCCCAGATACTCGCTTTCTCCATCCTCTCTTCTAAGAAATGAAGAGCACCATTCCTTCTGTTCGCATATTTGGGGATCCCTTATAAATCACCTTCAGTCTGACTCCTCACTGCAAATCAGGTTATCTACTTCTTACTTGCTTTGCTTTTAATGGCTAAACAGCAGTTTACTATTTTTCTTTTTTTTTTTTTTTCTTTCTCCTCTCACTCTCTTTTATTTTCCTTTTATTTTTGTGTGTGTGGTCTAACTCATCTTCATATTTGTAATTCTCATTTCTCCCCTATGCTTTCTGACCAGAAAGCAATAGCTTTCTTTGCTGAATCACATTTTGCATTTTTGAGGACTTCCTGCCTGTATCAAATATCTCCTTTTTTAGCTTTCTTGGTGTTCTTTTTTTTTTTAAAAAATCTGTTAGACTAAGTGTCTTTCCCTAACAGATTTTTCCTTTGTCTGGTATATTAATTCTACAGTGGTTTTCTCTCTCACAGAGAAAAAAAAATGCAAGCCACTTTTGCATTCAAGTCTGAAGCTCTACTGCCTAGTTTGCCTCTATAGCTATTTTCCTTCACTTTTGTGAAATAATCAATCTTAGCTACAGTTGAATGTTTAGCCTTCCATTTAAATTGAAACAACTCATGAACTCTCAGCTGAAGGTCGCTTTCTATGTCTAAGTCTTCTATAATAATCTCAGTATTTTGCAAATCTGCATTGCTTTTTCTTAGTTTAATAACTATTTGGAAAATAAGTCCATGAATTATCACATCCCGGTGCTCGGCATTAGGAACAGTATTTGTTTTCCAACATCTATTTAGAGAACAAAAATCTCTCAAAATGACATAATTTCTGATAGTTTTTATCTCACCAATAATGTGAATGAGATTTCTGAGTTTCAAATATGCCTTAATACAATGAAACACATTTTTTTGTGATGGAGTTTAACCTAGAATATTTTCATCACAAAATTACAGCCACATCTCATTAAAGCAGGCTAATCATAAATCTCTGCACCTCTGCCTTCAGCAGAGCTCATTTGAAAAAATTCTGACAGTCCATATCCTGCTTATTCCTGCTGAAAGAGGGAATTATTTTCCCTGTTAATTCCAATTAAAATAATTAAGCTGTGCAAGTCATTGTGTCCTAGCAAAGTTCTGTATGCAGTAGTATTATTGGTGCCTTCGGCTGCTAACACTGGGAACCACAGAGTCCTGCTAGGAGCAGAGGGAGAGGTACCCACCCTGCACCAGAAATCCCTGTCTGCTCCTGCTGCTGATGGAAATCTGCTCTGAGGCTCAGGGCAAAGACGCCAGCTCCACGGCACAGCCACCCTACGCTGGAAGCAAAGAAATTAGGACTCCCCTTCTCCCCCAGTGTTATTATGAGCCCACTTCAGTGATGCTGGTATAAATCCAGACTGACTCGCACAGTGCTGTGGTGAGTAATTCTCACTTTCCCCTGGTGAAAATAGAGCTGGGGTTGTCCTTTCTGCCTTCCCAGGGAGATGAAGAAAGGAGGTGCCGAGGCATCAGACTGAAACACACTGCTCGCATCTGTTCTGATGGGTAGCTGACAAGCTGGGACAAATCCTCGCCTGCATCCCTGCTGCCTTTTTCAGGTTCCCATGTGCCCTAAACAGAGAAGCCCTGTCCCCCAAAGGTAAGCAGGGGGTGTTCGCAGAGCAGTCCCCACTGCCTCAGTCACCACAATGCTTTCACAAGGGAAGAAGTGGCACAGGTGATAAGTAGCAGGGAGTAGCTGACGAAGAGAATTACAAATCCTAATGCAAAGTCATAAATGGAGGCCACAGAGCCAGCACTCAGAGCAAGCACAAGGAAATGCTTACAACTTTCAGCCACAGCGTAAAAGAATTACAGCCATGTTCCCCTCCCTGCCACTCTGGAGCCCAATAGTCAACACTCAGGATGATGGCACATGCTGTTCCCCTAATGAGCTGAGAAAACAGCAACATCACCTGAGTCAGAAATCTAGAAATTCCTTTATCTAGTAGTTTTTAAGATCAGATGCACCTATATAAGCTGCGCACAACAAATCCAAAACGCAGCAGCCTAGAATATATGCAGCACAAACCAGAGAAGGTGCTTCCAGGAAAACCCAACAGGTATAAAAGGTGGGTTAAAAGAATACTGTCATCACTGAAATGAAAAGCTGCCAAAAGATCTAACGGAGCTGGGATGGAAATGCTGCCAGCATCCTTCTTGCAGGAGGATTGCTGCAGGCTCTCCTCAGTTCTGCGACTGGTTTTCACAGCAGATCCCAACACCCTTTTCCAGAGAAGATGGTTAAGAAGCAAAGTGGCAGCTTCAGGGCATTTTACTTAAGCACCTTCTACTAATAGTTCATTTGTGAGACAGACAGTTAATTAACACACGCTCATTGGAAAATAAAAGCTTTCTTCAGCTCCCAAATTACTTGTTATCCTTTGCAAATAAGAGGGATTTTTTTTCTGCTGGAACAAAAATGTCCCTTGCACACAGGTATCAGAAGGAAGGGTACTAGTAATCACTGCCCTTCCCACCCCTGGTTATGAGCCAAGTCAAAGGACACATTCCTAGATGTGCAAGGACAGTGATTTAAAACACATATCTGTATCTACATTCACTGCACACTTGGAAACATCCATTTTGCAGGGCTAAAAATCACTGAACTTGTGCACTCCCGTCACCAGGCTGGAGCTTCCTATGTAACTCTTGCAATGTGTTATGTTCATTGCTTTTTTTCCTGAAAACATCCCCATTCTTATTCAGTACAGCACGTTACATGCTCAATTTTCTCCCTTATCAAATGCTGATACCTTTCCCTCTCTTAATACATCCCCTCTAACCCAAACCTCAGCCCCATAACTTTCTGTTGCCCTTCTCTGAATTCCTTCCAATCTCTGACTCATAAAGGAGGATTTATTGGACTAAAGATACACTTTTAATAATGCCTTCTGTTGTATAATTTCACTGCTGAAGTTAGCTCAGGCACCTTCTGTCCTGTTGGATTGTGGCTTGGAACAATCCACGACAGCATGTCTGGAGGAATTTTGCTGAATAAACTCACAGTTGCAGAAATTTCAGATACATAATGTCAGGGAGAACCTAGGTGACTGGGGAAAAAATGCCATAGAGGTAAAACAGCGAGACGGCACTACTTACCTTAATAACTTCTGCTGTGAATGTGCACAGTGATCAATACACAAATGTGGAAGCAATTACAAGCCATCAGTGTGCAACCCCTGCTCTCCCTCTACTACAGAATCAGTCAGAACAAATCTCAAATCGTAATAAAAGCTCACAGATGGTTTCTGGAGACCTTTTAATTAACACTGCAGTTTCCAAACCAAACAAAATAATCTCCCTGGATTCTCTCTGAGTAACAGCAATAAATGAGCACCCTTTAAAGGCAGCTCGTTGGGAAGGTTATCTCCTCATTCTGAAATGAAAGTGCAAATTACGTGGCAACATTTTTATTACCTATGATTGCAGGATCATCTCAGAGCTTCTGGAGTGTCTGGGAGGAGGGCTGGTGCACACTAAGGGAAGCAACACACATATCAAAAACTTGGTAATACAGTAAGTACTGTCCAAGACATGGCAATGCAAAACGGATAGCGCTGGGCAACAGTCAGCTGTACCAACTCCTACACCACACATCACTGGAAGCAAACATTTCTTAGCACAGAGAGACTGGTTTCTCTCTCATCCCAGCCAGCCTGTTCAGACTGAATTTCTATACTAGCAATAATGACTAATAGTAATTTTCACCAGTGACTAATGATATGGCTGGATGTGGACACTAGCCAAGGGGTGGAGATTTATTAGGGTGGTATTGAGTTGGACAGAGAGGAATCTGGACATAGAGGTGATAGGTTTTGCATCACATAACAGATCTCCTCCTCCACCACCCATTTTCCCTTATCCAAATCTTCTCTACCATGCCTGTAAAAGTGTCCTCCCTGTCACTTTTTTTCATACCTCTTGGAAAAAAGGCACGTTATGGAGCAAAAAAATGAAACTATTAATACAAATGCAAACATGCAAAAGTTTTTGGGGAGGAAGATTTTTTTATTGTTGCTTTTTTTAATGGTAAACAGATTGCTCCTTCAAAACAACCAGAACTTTAAGCAAGTAAATAGCTTCAATCTATATCTGAGCTCTCTATTAAAATTGCCGTGCCTCCCTCTTTTTTGTATCACCTAGAGGCTGATACTGCAATACAAAAGACATTCATGTAGCATAATGCGGAAGGAGGCCCGTGTGCTTCTGGGCCACTGAAGACCGATTATTACCTCTCTCTTTGATTTCTGGCTTCCCCGGTAAATTTTAGTGGTCTTTGCAGATGGCTCTGAACCTTTCTGCTGGGATATTTGTGCACCAGCTTATTGCAGCAGGTCACTCTGCTGCTGTATTTGTTTCATTGGGTCTAATCTTGGGAACATATTTGCATTTGCACTTTAAAGACACCTAAAGACATTCCATAGCTTTATTCTGTGCTGTGGTCCTTGGTTAGCTTCCATAGCCAGGAAGCCACTTCAGCTGAATCTTACAAACCATCTCCAGTCATCTGCAAAGACCACTAAAGCTTACTGGGGAAGCCAGAATTCAAAGACAGAGGTAATCCCTCCAAGGAGGGAAACTCCACAACCTCTCTGGGCAACCCGTTCCTGTGCTCAGTCACCCTCACAGTAAAAAAAAAGTGGTTCTTGATGTTCAGACAGAATCCCCTGTGTTTTAGTTTGTGCTCATTGCCTCCAGCCCTAGAGCCAGCTGAAAAATCCAGCTCTGCCAAAAAAGTTTACCCCACTATTTCTCAGGCCTGCAGGCTAATGCCCTTGGCTTATGTGATGTTGAGAGAAAAGACTGTATGAAAAATGAGCTAGAGAGGAAGACGAGTCCAATAGACAGGAGACTGACAAAGTTTCATCATGTTCTAAGTAAAAGCTCAGGTGTTCTAGACATTCCATGTGCCACTGGTGAACTTAAATGTAATTCCTCTAACTCGGCTGTCCTGCTTTCAAATGGGCCTAGTCATCAGCCTGTTTGTCAGAGACAGTTTTGCTGATACTTCATGATCGTTTTAAGAGTGGGTACATGGAGGTTACAGAAGGGTAAAGGTTCATTCAGGGCATTCTTTTCTATTCCTTTGCTCCTAGACCCTCTTGAACATAGGTTCCCTTCTCCCAGAGGTCCATCTAGACAAGTATTTTGTTGCTGGCAGGGTTCAGTAGTGGATGTACTGGTGAAGATAGAACATGGCCTACAGCCCTGAATCTCTAGAAATCTGTGATATCCTTGTCTTTAACAGCCATCCCATATTATGTGAAGAGTATTTTTTTCTCTGTTTTAAACTTGCTAATGTTATCCTGGAAAATGTTTTGCAGGGATGCTCAAGAGAATGAGACTCACCCTCCTCTGAAATTCTCAGTGGGGCTGTGTTTCCAAGGACTCACCTCTAGGCTTGAACCTGTCTCCTTCTTCTCTTTTCTGCACACAAACATACATTGACACTTTCACTGACTCCAGGACCTGCTTTGCCCCATTGTGTGCCTACAACTAATTAGTCTTCTATTTGCTCTGCTCTGTCACATCACATGAAACTTTCCAGGTACCTTCCAAACTGCTGTAAGAATACAAGCAGTCACTCAGCATACATCATCCTACTTAAAGGATGGATGAAAACCCTCCAGTCATGGCCCAGCTGCTTCATTAAAATATTGCTCCAGGCAAAAATGATTCAACCAAGTCTGACAGAGGCCTCACAGCTTGCTTTCCACAGAAACCCAAACTGGCCAGATAAATCACACTATCTTTACAACTTCTTTCTCAAAGACATCTGCAGGTATTCTAACACCAAAGGTGATGGGATGTTCTAAGCAGAAAAGGGACAGACTGACAAAGTTACTGAGATGCCATTGTTCTGGGCAATGAAGATCTAAAAACAACTCAAACATGAAAATAATTCAATGGCAGAACTTCCTTAGGAATGTACATTTCAGTCAGCTGAGGCTGAAAAGGGCATGGTTATTAAATTGTTGAATCCACGAACACATCTCTCCTCATTTATTCACCGTAATCTAAAAACAAGGTTAAGTAAGTTCTCCTTTGCAGTCTGGACAGTTACTTTCTGCTGACTTCACAGTTGCACACTAAAGAACTGTATCAATGGCTTTTACTACCTAGAAACCAGTAAAGGCTCAAAAAAAAAAAAGGAAAATGGTTGATAGGGAATTCTAAAAAGGTATCTAATCAGGAAATAGCATCATTTCAAATGCTTTCAAGCCAGAAAATACTGTTACAGGGGAAATAAAGCCTGCACATTTTTACTGGATTTGTGGATAATTCCCACAATTATTGAAATACTTGTTTCTAAATCTTTATTTTTCTCTGAATATATATTTGAGGAGTCAGACTATTGTCTCTGCCATGTATTAAGCTAATACATTAGCCGAGTTATCTAAACAAACAAGAATGATATGTAAGACCACTTGTTCAAATATGTTAATGTGGTTTGTCCCCTCAACATTATCATTACAACAACCTCAGAGTATTATAATTTACCTACCTAGCACACACAATGTTCTTTGCTATGCAATCACCTATTCCGAGTATGTAAGTTCATCTTTGTCCTAGTAAATGTGGATTTAGCTTTGTATGGCTGACAATGTAGTTTCACTGATGCATTCCTTCTTCCTTCCTCCACAAATTTTTCAAAGAAAAAGTGGTCAATATTTGTATTATAATTGGGAGATTAGAGGCAACTGGGAGGTTAATTTTAAAAATTACACTGCAGATTTGAGTAGTGAAAGAAAGCAAGCAAGCACCTGTAGAAAGGCTGCACAGAGCTCACCATGCACTAGCCATCGCTGTACCATTGGCTTCATCATTAGAGGACTGTAGCTGGATGGTCAAACTCTTAAGCACAGCCATCCATTAGTGCTTGGGAAGATTAGACAGACAGACAGCTCCTACAGAGAGATGAGTTAGAAAGATGCAGGGAGGGATATTTTCACCAGATAGATGCTGCCAAGTTTTGCAGGGCACAAGAGATGCCCTGAGGTCTAGATCAAAAGCTAGTCTCCCAGGATCTTCTGAAGGAAAACAGTTCCTCCGTTCAGCCAAGTGTTTGAGCAGAGAACTAACTGGAGACACAAGAGTTTTCCTATTGAATTAAGGATGTGCTCGTGTCCTTGATGACTTGGGTTACTGCACAAGGCCACGGAATCAGCCAGAGAAATATCCAGCAAGAATTGGGTGGACATGAAGGGCTCCTGACTCCAACTGTTAGCAATGTATAGGAAGAATTACAGCAATGGACACCATGGGCTTCTCTAAAGAGTGTTTTCAGTAAATCCCAAAGGATAAAAGTGAATGGAGAACCCATGAAATGCCAGTGCCTTATAAATACACTCAGTAGATCTCTGTTGGCTTTTGCTCACTTTCTGGATGTTTCAATGACTAGAGACTGAAGAGTCGTGGGAGAGGAAGTACGTTGTTGATAATTACATTGATGCATTGTTCATAAAAACTGAGAAACTGTTAATCGTGAAGAATTTTACAATTTGAAGTGACACTACTGAGAACAGACTATACCCAAGTATTTAAACATATGATTGATGACTACAGGCACAGAGAAAGGGGATACTGTGAAAGTGGAGATAAATAAAGGGACATAATGACCTAAGAAATGCATGCTGTAGACACACTTACAGGGTCTTTAGAAAAATGTACATGGTTATCCAGTTTCTTCTCTGACAGCTGTGTGGCTAAAGCTTGTGCTGCACAGCACAAGGGCCTTCACAACTTCCTCCTGCTGTCCTCAGTGCACCCACATCTCCCACTGCACATGAGAGTCCTCTGCTGCAGGGAATAAAGGTTTGATTTTTTTCAGGGGAGACCCGAGGAAGGAGATGACCTAATACCCTGCCCTAGATTTCAATGGGACCTATAGCTGTGACTATCTAAAGTGCCTATGCTAGTTTGGTCTCTCATGTCCCAGAGACTTCCAGTATTCAGTTTCCTTAGAGGAAACTTTGGAATGATCTATTTGGTATAGAAAATTTCTTTCAGACAGTCTCCAAATGGATGTCAGGAAAGAGAGTCCTAAATGGTGAGTGTAAAACTGAGCTTTTGAAGTCTGTAAATAAAAGGGGAAAGAACTGCAGGGATGGTGATTACTTTGAAATCCTGCTGAAGCCATGGGGAGCTGCAAGTATTTACAGCTCCACTAGCAATGAAGTAACTAGGTGCCAGAACAGTGATTTAGCTGAAAAATAAGATAGTTAGGTTCTAGGTTTATTCTCTTAGGTGGTGCTAGGTCAATTTATTCCATTTTGAAGTCAACCAGTGATTTCCCTATTTCCCTGCACCATTCAAACTTGACAGACCTGAAAACCAAGAACCTCCTTTTGTCTTATCTTTTTTTTTAATGAGTAGTAGAGATATCCCAAATGGAAGCTGCCTCCAAATGCTGCTGAGACAGACACACACTTCTGTGGTTGAGTAACGTGGGGCAAATAGGTCAAACAGGGCCAGGATGGCTAGACTCAGAGAGAAACACAGCTAGATCTGAAGCAATGTCAACCTGAGAAAGGTTCAGGTGTGAGAAGCTCCTGTGAGCTCATCTCTCTTTCACAGTCCTAACATCCTGACAGGAAAAGGACATGTGAAGGAGAAAATCTTTTAAGGTAAAAAACAAAGCAAAAAAACTCTCATGCTGTCATGTAGTCACTCTCTTATCTATTCAAGCTCCTACCCAGTGCCCTCAACATAGCATCTGAGTGCCTGTCAATCACCAATGCACTTATCGCCACACTGTCTCTGTGGGAGTAGGAAAGAAATCTTATCTCTACCATATAGATGGGCACCTGAGGCAGAGAAATTAAGGGCTTGATCTAGTTATCTAAATATAAGTTGCTAGTGCCATCTAAGACGCCCTGGGGCATGCAAGACATGCAAGGGCTGTCAGGTGGGACACAGGACCTAAGAGAGATCCATGGTCTTCTGGAAGCCAGGCAGGATATGATGGCATATTGCAGAGGGAGATGAATGTCTCGATTTAGGCAACGGAATTGAATCCTGTGGTCAAGGCAAGGCATTTGTGGCAGAGCAGGGAGCTGAACCCTACAAACTCCTCTGCAAACACCCTAAATACAAGAATCGCCCTTCGTCTGCGAAAAGAGACACAACTTTTTTTTCATGTTTTGACTCAAGCCTGTTTTATTACTAAAGCCAAGTTTCTTGTGCCTGGGACCTCCAAAACAACTACTGCTGTCAGGAGCCTGTGCATTGTCTTTTCCCTGGTTGAGTATGAACACACATCCATACCACCTTTCAGTCACAATCAAGAAGATGTCACCTACGGAATATGGAGTTGTTTTCTGTCAAACTCAATAGAAACACTTAGATTGTAATACAAAGAGCCACAATCAGTATCAGAGTGACCTTCCTCCACCATGTCCACAAGCTCAGACCTCACACTGAAAGATGAATCTACCTCCTTGTGGTAGTATTTACAGAAAGACACTTTCATTTTAGCTCATGACAAAAGCCTGATGATGATTTAGAAGCTTGTAATGAGCTTACTGAGGAAGAATGAAAAGATGGTCAAGGTCATAGCCCCCACAGGAGCGCTATCAGTCTTGACATGTACAGCAAATAAGGTTCTCAAACAGCTGCCAAATCAGAAATAAGCTGTATGCAGAGGAGTTGTGCTGGCCTTGCTGCAGGCTGTTATTTGGTGCATTAGGCTGAGGACAGATTTGCAAAACCACTCGGGCAATTCGGACATTTGGTTCCCCTTTGAAACAGCTCAGTGAAAGAGGTGGTGGCAAAGAACCAGCCTGGCACGTTTGGTTGCTAGAGCAGCTTCCTGCAGTGCAACCTGCAGCCACGCAAGCATCTCTTCTCTGCCACTTGCCCCATTGGTTTGGGCTGTGTCCACATGCCTTGCAGGTCTACATCCCAACTGCTACCTAGAAACACAGATTTAACCAAACAACCCCTGAGGATGAGACTAGTTGCAATCCCCACTTCTAGCCTCTCTTGCAAGATCTAAGACACACATCAGACACAATTCTTTCCCCAGCCACAGCAGGTACCCTCTATTGTATTCACAGCTGCAACAGTGAGCAGAATCTGATCAATGTCTTAATTTACTTAAGCCTCCCAAACACTTGAAAGAGGAGAACTATTTTTATGTTGTTATATTTTTTTATATGGGAAATCTGATTAGAATAATCCTGACAAGGCAGAGAATGATAAGCAAATAGAGTAGGTTAAAAAAAGGTAGTTTTGAAAGAGGAAATTGATTTTCTTCCATCCCTCCAAATTTGAATAATGAACTTTCACAAAGAGCTTATTTGAAAGAATCTCCTGGAGATGCAAGAAACTGTAATTAAAATATTTCAATAGTCTCTCAGAGCTCCTTACAAAAATAGAGGTTGTTGCACACTAGAAAGTTTGAGACATTTACACTTGGAATCCAGTGGCCAACACTTTCATGGGGGTGCAGAAAAATTTCAAAACCCACTTGAAATTAGCTAGTCATGCAAAAAAAACCGAGGCTATGGGAATCTGGGTGCTTTGCCTACTTTTGCAACTAAGGATTTACAAACCAAAGAGAAGTGTGACCAACAGGCATCATTCCCTTTTCTACACCTGTTTTCTTGTGTAAGAAAGTGTCCTGGGTTGAGTGGCGCCTACTGGAGCTGGACACTGGGTTAAATGGACCCACAAGGGCCACCCTGACGTTCATCTCAGTGAGAGCAAGGGGATGTACTGGGTGCCCAACACCTCTGAAAGCAAGGCTTTAAATTGTCTGAAAATCCGTGCATGATTTTGTTACTGCAAATGGTTCACTTGCAAGACCTGGCTGTTCAGCTCCTGGGGGCACCATCACTTTACAAGTGCTTGTTTCCAGAGCACTCCTGCAACCCTGAGCTTCTCGGGAGCAGTTTCCAATCCTCCACCTGCCATTTTATGAAGCCAACACCATAAACAGGCCCAGCTCCTTGGGTGGCTGAAAAAGAGATATCCGTGGAGCCCTGAGCAACTGCACTTGACATATGGTATTAAGATGTGCAAGGGAAGATGGCTGGCAGAGTATGACTCTCCTGTGGTTCTTTTGCCTGCTCCCATTATCCTCAATGAAGATTGCTAGGGACATAAATGCTGAGGAGCCAGAAAAGAAGTGAAATGGGAAAACAGAGAGGGAGAAGCAAGCCCTGCCTACGCAGCATACGGCTTTCAAAGCAAACTGATTTGCTCAGACACAAGATACTACACAAACAAGTTGTGCTGATGCACCAGTTCCCTGAATAATCACAGTAATACAAAACAAAGCTTATGATTAAGGTAAAGAATTAAGACCAGGAAGAACAGAAGGCCTAATTCAGTCTCCATGCGCGACCTTGGGCATATCGCATCACTCCTCTACTCTGTTTCCTTAACTATGTGATGAAGCTTCCCAGCATGAGTGGAAAATTATCTGAGAGTGTAGGAGAGCCCAGAAGCAACTCACAGGTAAGTGGTAACAGATTCTTTTTGGGGCCCACACTACTGCCCTCTTGAACCCCAGCTAAGTTAATTCCTCTCACTGCCAATGATCCAGATGACCTCAGACCAGCACATCCCTGAAGGCCAATCATGGGATGTAGTTTCAGGTGAAAGAACTGCATTTCAATGGCTATCTACCAGACACGCGAGAGCCATAGCCTGGGTCCTGCACTAAGTTGACAGTATTTGTGAGGTGTTTCCATCAGAGATTAAGGTGACACAGCACCTCTCTGACCTGGCCTCCCATCAGGAGCTAGTGTTTACCATGAGCCCTCAACTCTTCCTCCTAGTCCAACACCAGCAGTTAACACCACACTACCCTGCTTCTGATTTCACCTCAAATACTTCTAGAGTCCTTCCCTTTGCTCTGTTCCCTTCCTGCTCACCACAATGTATGGTGAGATTCCACAGCATCCACGGGGAAATTCTACTACAGACAGTAAACTTAAATCATAAACCACGACACGGGGTTTAAACTGGAAACAATCTCAAGTGAAACAGGATCATGAGCATTGTGACAGGGTTAACCAAGCTGTGGTCTGCTCTTA